GGGGATTTGCACATTAATTCAATATCACAAAAATCATATAGAATCATAGGTATGCTACATAAAATTAAACATAAAATTAATAAAAATATATTAGTAAATCTTTATTATGCGTTAATTCATCCTTATTTGGTCTATTGTAATTTTCTTTGGGGCAATAGTCCTGATTCACACATTAATCCAATTGTCGTAACACAAAATCGATTTATTCGATTGCTCCTTGGCCTTCATCCACGTTGCCACATAACTGGTTATTATACGGAGGCAAACATTCTTAGTGTTAAAAATTTGCATCTTTACTTTCTGGCAATCTTCGTGTTTAAATACTTACAACAAAAGTTACCAAAATTTTTTCTAGATTTCTTTACCCTAGCGTCAAATGTCAAAACAAAAGTCTTGAGAAGCGCGCATACACTTTATTTTGTACCGCAGAGAATTAAATTAGTGAATTCAAGTTTAAAAATAACAGAACCTAGAGTCTGGGACGAGCTAATTCCACTAGAAATAAAAGAAATTACTTTGATCCATTTATTTAAAAATAAGCTCAAAAATTATTTAATTAATAAAAATACTTATTTTTTATAACAATAATTATAGTATCAATAACAAGAAAGACGGCCACTTTGATATGGAGCACGAATATGTTATGAATGTGTATGAAAGGATATGAATGTGTATGAAAGGATATGAATGTGTATGAGTGGACATGAATGTGTATGAATCTATATGAATGTGTATGTGTATGGATTGTTATGAATGTGTATGAGTGGGTACGAATGTGTATGGATGGATATGAATGTGTATGGATGTACGAATTGCCATCATTTTTAATTTCTTCAATTAACTTTGTTGAATTTTTTGTTGAACTTGGTTGAAAGGACAACTTTAGTTAAGGCACTATCACAAGTATTATGTTTACTTTTTTGTGCTTCCAATAAATAAATAAATAAATAAATAAATAAATATATATATATATATATATATTACTTAAGGCTCTGAAGATGGCGCTCACGCCGAAACAACGTTGTAAGCCGCACTATGACAAAACTGTTTAATAAATATGATTTAACCCAAATACGAAATGTTGAATCGCAATAACATGTCGTGAAACGAGCGTATACCTTAAATTTAAATTTTAAATTCCGTTGTTTTATAGCGATGTTTTAAAAATAGAAAAGTTGTCTGTAAATTATAAATTTGTTCTAAATCGGTTTTTTTACTACTTCTAACCTAATTGGTTCGAATTTGGTTGATTTTAAATTGGTTTAAAGTTTTAAAGAAATTTAAATTTTGACGGACATAAATAATGTTAATGATCAAGACTGCTGAAGCCTATTCAGCTCCGGAGCTGTATGCGTTGAATAAAGGCTGCAAGCCATGTAGAAGTATACGAAAGGCTCTTTTTAAACTTCGTATGTGGCGTCCGAAAATTAGTCACCGATTAAAAGTGAAAAGCCAAAAAAACAGGAAATTAAAATTTTAAATTTTAAATGTAAATAGCCTCGCCAAAAAATATATTTTTGTGGCTGATTCCATATCGGAAAAAAAGTTGGATGTTATGTGAATTGTCGAAAGCCGGCATGTGTCGTCTGAAGATGTTTTCCTTCAACAAGCGGTACCACATGGATATTGCTGCTTTGATGCTGCCGGAAAAAACAAAAAAAGCCGGAGTAATCCAGCCAAATGGTCCTCCTGGTGGTGGAGTGGTTATAATTCTGAAAGACTCCTATCGTTCTACCAAGATCGACATAAAATTTAATCTGAAGACGCTTGAATACCTATGTGTATCATCGCTTTCATATGGCTCCAGTATAATTAGTTGGGTTGCCATCTACAGACCTGGTTCATCACAAATCATATCAACGTTTTTCGATGAATTTCGTCAACTTCTTGAAAAACTCACAAAGCTTGGTGGTCAGGCTGTCATAGTTGGCGATATCAACATACATCTTGAACATCAAACAGGGGCGCATGCCGTTCAACTAACCAACCTTCTGACAATGTTTGGTTATCTTCAACATGTTCAGACACCAACGCTCAACAAAGGTTTGAGTTCAAAGTTCACAGCATCATGGTCGATCAGCCAATCATATCTGATCACAGTTTGATATATGATTCGCTGGATATTGAACAAAAAAGTCTAGTTTGTCTAGTCAACAAAAAAGTTCGAAACTTCAAAAGGATCAATATGGATAAATTAAAAGATGCACTGTCAACAACTGATCTTTCCACTCACGAGAAACATTGATGATCTTTTTGACATGTATGATGAAACGTTCTGTGAACTTATGAACAAATTTGTACAGCAACGAAAAATGCGGAATTTGTGTAAAATCGACGCCCTGGTTTGATGATGATTGCCACATAATAAAACGCTGTGTAAGCAGGTTTGAGAGGGTTTTTTTGTCGCACCAGAGATCACTCTGACCTAATTCTGTAGAGGTCAGAATCGTTGAGAAAACATAAACTGTTTGCTGCAAAAGAACAAGGAAATTGGGAGTCGTTAATTACCTCAAACTCCGGAAATTCTAAAGTGCATTGGAGCATAGTCTCATCGTTAATGGGTAAAAAAAAGACAGGGGCGTCGCCAACTGAATCCATCTCGGCCAGTGACTACCTGGGGTACATTCTTTCAAAATCATCAACGACATCGGGTGTAATTCCGGTAGATCATTCGAAATATCAACGAACTGATTGCCGTCTTGATCACTTTGATCAAATTTCATGCGATGATTTTAAATCAGTGATATTATCAACGCCTTCAAAATCATGTTTGCTTGACCCAGTCCCGACATTCATTTTGAAAGAACTCTTGGGAATACCGCTCCCATTTTTGCTCCAGGTAGTTAATGAAAGCACCATTTCATCAAAAATTCCGAAATCACAAAAAAAGCGATTATTACACCGATTATTGATAAAGAAAGCTGATTTATAACCGGTTTTGGTCAGCAGTTACAGGCCAATATCAAATCTCAGCTTCATCTCGAAAATAATTGAAAAGGTAATCGCCAAGCAACTGTTGAACTATTTTCACAAAAATTCGTTGATACCTAAGTTGTAATCATGATTTCAGAAACATCACTCAATAGAAACCGCCCTGTTGAAGGTACTCTCAGATGTATGTAAAGCGGTTGATGATGGAAACATTGCCATGATTCCACTACTAGACGTTAGTGCGGCGTTTGATACTGTCGATAATGAGATTTTATTAAATCGGCTCAAAATATTGTACGGTATAGATGGATCAGCTTTAGATTGGTTCTCTTCGTATCTGTCATCAAAATCCCAAACGATGATTGTGGGTGTTAACGGATCAGATGTCGCAAGTTCAGGATTGACTCGCGGGGTTCCGCAGGGATCGGTTCTCGGGCGATTGTTGTATGTGTTGTGTACGGCCGATATTATTATGGTAGTTGAAGTAGCTGGACTTCAATGTCATTTATGCGCAGATGACATTCAGCTAAATGGTTTCTGCCCAGTGAAATCATCACATGATTTTTGGCAAAAGATGTCGAACACAATAGACATTGTTGGTAAATAGATGTCGGCTAATAAACTGGGGCTAAATGTTAAAAAACTCAACACATCTGGCTTAGTACCCCACGAAGATTGAAGTTGATGAATGATTTTACATCGTCGGTGAACAATTTTGGTGTTTTACTGGATTTACGTTTGTCAATGGAAGAGCATGTCAAAAATATCTGTAGGAAATGTTTCTATCAACTGCATAGAGTCAGAACCATCAGACGCTTTCTCACTATGGAGTCAACTAAAACACTTGTACATAGTTTTGTCTGTAACCGAATTGACTTCTCCAACTCGATAATGTATGGAGTCAACTTATTCCTACAGAACTGTGTTCAATCAGTACTAAACGCTGCAGCAAAAATGGTAGCCGGCGTTTCAAAGTTTCACTCCATCTCAGTATACATGCGTGATGAACTCCATTGGCTGCGGTTTTCGGAAAGGGTTAAATTTAAATTGGCACTCTTGGTAAAAGACTGTCTGACTGGAAATGCACCGGTTTACTTGAGTGAACAACTAATACCGGTATCAAAGGTACATGGACGTAGTCATATTAGGTCGTCGGACCATGGGGATCTGGTTATTCTGTCTTTTAGTTCCTCAAAATATGGACGGCGGAAATTTGCAGTAATGGCGGATGAAATTTAGAACTCACTTCCTGTACAGATGAAGGATGGTTCTATCACAAATCGACGTCTGTTCAAAAAAAATTGAAACATCATTATTTCAACACTGTACACCAAAGAAAGCGCTTCTGAGATCTTTCGAGAGAGGCGCTATACAAGTTCTGATACTGACACTGATATATATATATATATATATATATATATATATATCTTCCAGAACATCTTCCATATATATATATATATATATATT